CTATAAGTGAGTATAATAATATATTGTTGGATTAAATTAATTAGCATGATTTGTTTCTATGACACAGCATGACAAGTCAAAGTATATCAAGGAAATGGGTTAAAACCATGGGAGGACCACGAAGGATATAACCTAGACACTTGAGACATGAAATGTAAGGTTAGAACCTTTGTCGATCAGTTGAATGGGGTGCAAATTTCCAAGGTTTTGGATATATATTGAACCGAAAATTTGACCAATAAAAAAAGTTCGTTCCTTAGAGAAATGATGAAAAAAATTTCTAAACTTATTATTAAATTATTAAATAATTATCAAGATATTGGAATAGGTGAAATTCAAGATTCTGTTTCTGTTCTGGTGTGAGTTTTAATAATTCTCGTTCAACATTTGCTTGAATTTCAATCCCATAAATATTTTTGTTTAAATATTTAGCGATACTAAAAGGAGAAACGATCTTACATGTTAATTTATATGACCTATTTGTATATTGATTTGCATAAAAAAACATAATTTCATTTTCATTAATTTGCATATTTTCTTTGTTAATTAATGACTTATTTAACGTTTTTACGACAATATCGAATGGTATCTCTTCACATTTAACATCGTAAACGTAAACATCATTAAAAAAGAAAAATTGACGATCTGTGGTATTGTCTAATTGAGACTGTTGATGAGTAGGAGCTTTTACGGTATGATAATCTTGGTAATTACCGTGACTGGCCTGTTCAACGGTAATAGCATTGTAATCATTCGCATTTAAGGCGTCATCCATTCTGATATTATCGGCGTGCTGAGTTCGTACATAATCCTGGTAATTACCGTTGCCGATCTGTTCTGTAGAAATACGATCATTCATATATGAATGGGACTGCTGATAGACTGGATCTTGTACATTATTATAATCCTGGGAACCACTGAAATTGACTCCAAGATGAGATTCATCAATATGCTGATAGACTGTGTTATAATCCTGAGAATCACTGTTTGAACATTCTATTCGTTCAGTTTCATCAGAATAAGGTGTAATTCTATCATCTTGAAAGGTTTCAATGTTTGAACGGATTTGCGTATGATTTGATTGCATATTCTAGACTTAGACAAATAAAAAAAGATAAAATAAGAGAGAGATATTTAAAAATTTATTGATTGTATTTATGTAGCAACTTTATTTTATGTATACAGTATATATACAGTATATACCGTCTAAAGGGAATAAATTTTTCTATACGAGAGTTTTTACATGCAAAATATAATATATTTATTTTTTTTTTAAAAAAAAAAAGAAAAATCGTTGTTGGTTGAATTGTTAAATTTTGGGATCAAAGTTTTTATTGAAAAAAAGATAGACGTTACTCTATATATATGTATTATGAACGGGGAAGATCACTAGTTGAAACACCGAGAATCTACCTTTATTTGTTAATTAAATGTGAAATATGATTATGTGATAAGAATGTTATTTCTGCGCAAATTACTGTCACTATATAGTAGTTTCTTATTATTGAATTTATTTATTCATAATAAATCATACTTCAAGATATATACATTTTACAATAAATACGTAACAATACGCCAAATTGTTTCAATCTATTTAAAGGTATATACAAAAAAAGAAATAAAATTATTTTTGAATGACTTTTGATTTAATCCATATATATATTAACCAAAGGAACCCTCCTCACACACCCAAAAAAAAAAAAAAATTTAAATCCTTTTAAATTTTAAATTTGGTATAGATTTATTCTTTATTTAATATTAATTTGAATTTATTAATAACGGAATCAAAACTCCGATTTTCTATACGTACTTATTTTACTTATTTATTAGGGCTAAGTGTATATGATCGGAGTAACCTTAAAATCGCTCCGTCAAATAAGTAAAATGACAATCCATATTTCTTTGTACCCATGAATGAAATCCATCCGTATATTTTCACAAAAATCAATAAAAATAAAAAAATAAGTAAAAATAAAAATAATGTCGTTTATAATAATCGAAATCATATTAAGATTTTGTTTATTTATTATTTACTTTTTAAGAAAACCAAAATGAACTATAAGGCACAGTAAATTATTCCTGAACCATATTAAAAAGTGAATTTCCCTATTGGACAAAAATAATAACGAAAAAATTATATTCCTTTACAATAAAAAAGTATTTACTATATAATTATTTTATTTATATACTATAACAATAATGAGTTTATTCATAGTGCTTGTTTATTGACGAGATCGACATAACAGTTTTTAATCACCGGAAATGTACTCCGAAACGAACAGAGTTTGACGGATATTTCTTATAAATTTATTCCTTAAAGTAAATATTATTTCCAAAGATATCGATAATAGCAGTTTTTAAGTATGTTCTCATTTTTTTTTAAAAAAAAGTAATTTTATTGAAAATCTTTTTACAATGAATGAAATACGTATCTTTTAACCGATTATTTATATACAAATTATAATGGTTAAAGTAGCTTGTTGCTCACAGCACATGCACGTTACAAAATAGATAAAATAAAATAAATTTGTCTGGAAGCCTATTAAAGCGTCACGAGGCGTAGCTGTACCATCGTGATGACTACCCAACTTTATAAGAATAAATAAAATTGTACACATTATTTTTACATATTAAATAAATAAATAGTTGATTATTTATATAGTGCTGTAATTAATTATCCTTCAATGCTCATTGTAGACAGTCTTAATTAGGAAATTGATTAAAAGCCATGCGATCGACAAAATATTCAAAATTATATAAAGGCTGTAAAAGATTCTTTTTTTTTTCTCAAAGCCTCTCGTTAAATAAAGAACTCGATCAACAATTTTGTGAAGCAAGATTTTTCAATAGTGTGCTTCTTCTACAGTGTACAGTTCATACAATAGTTTCTAATATTTCGATATTACTTTTTAAATAATTCACTTTGGATGCTATTTTTTTTTCTAGAAAAATACTCGATCCAATTTAAACATGAACCAAGATCAAGCTTTTAACCCACTACCTCCGTTCGTCTCACCGCAACAGAACCTTACTTCCGCAAATACTCCTCATGTGACTACTGTGGATGCCGTTCATCCTAGTACGCAAACTCCTCAACTTACCACTATACCTCTTCATCCTACCGCCTTTTTTTTCCGGCCATCGAATGATTTTTGTCATTATTACGTTAATTGTAAGGAAATCTGTTACGATACTGTAACATACTTATTAAACAAGTCACCAAATGAAAATAACGTTCAACCTAACGAAAATGAATGTATTTTCTACTATCGGCAACAAATTGATACCAGGTTTTATCGGGTATCATGCGAAATCGTTTCTCCTATTCTTATTAATGATTATTTGAATAAAAATATCCTCGGAATTTATTCACAAAATTTGGAACAAGAGAACCTAACATTTACCATCAATCAAAAAGATAATCTTGAATATCATTTGAAGCAATATTTAAGCCTTTACTTACTTAATTAAATTAGAAATTTTCGTTTCATATTTAAATTTACCCGGTTTATAATTAAGGAATATTATCGTTTGTCATATTTATCTCATTATAATTGTTTTTGAATTATAAGTTTATGAAATAAAGCTCAATTAAGATTTTTATTATGACCTTATTTTAAGAACAACTTTTTTTGTAATTGATCGGCAACATGACTGAATGAAAAATAATTTTAAGCTTGTGTATAATTTGTGATAATCAACGCAAAAACAACCAGTCACGTTTTTCCGATCGTCGATTATAGTTAAGATTTAAATATATGTAAACAAGAATTTTCTTGCGTATGAATAAACTAGTAAACTCGTTGTTAAATGACCCTATTCCTCAAACTTTGCTTGAAAGTAAAATTGTAAAATAATATATAACAGATAATAAATGTATACCGTAATACTAGAAAAGCAGTTCAAATTATCAATGACATTTCATGAAATTATAAAAAAAAGAGTCTGCAGGTATGTCAATTTAAAATCTTTATTTGAAGAATTTGTTATCTGTTATTTTTTTAAAAACAAGAAAAAATTATCTATATAAGCAAATAATCATATGAAGTAGCCAATCAAAATTTGTTCATTCAAGTTACAGTCATGTGATCATCAGATAAAAATTTGTATTACGAATATTAAGTTTCGTTTATTTTTATTATTTTTTATATTTTTTATATTTTTATAATGCAACAACTTTAAAATTTGGTATATTTTATTAAATTATTTTAAAGTAATTTTATAAGATTGCACATATTTTTATTGATATTTATTAGATACTATTGTTACTAAATAGGCTTAAACGTGTATGTATTAATAAAGAAGCTACTCTAAGAACATTGTATTCTCGTTATGATCCTTCCAAGTGCGTGGAAAAGTTATTCTAAATATCGTCAACTACCTCTTTCATTCCTGAAAAATTTTTAACTACAGTCAAAGTTCTCTATAACGAATCCCACGGGCCGGAGATTAAAATTCGTTATAGTAAGAAATTCGCTATACTAAAAGCCATTTTATTATAAATACTAAGATCTGTACCTGAACTTTTCTTCATTATAGCAAATTATTCGCTATATAAAAATTCGCTATAGAGAACTTTGACTGTACTTAATTGGCCCCAGTGCTAATTTTTTGCTTGGTGTTATTCTATAACTATTTTTTTAGCTTCACCTAAATTAGTTTTCAGTTCAGCAAAAATTAATTCACCATCTTTTATTTCTTCATTATTTTGTTATTTTGTATGCTGCCATTATTGATAACTAAATCATTTGTATCATCACGTAAAGCTTATAAATAAAAAAAAAACGAAAAATTAGCAATAATATAATTATAAAAGCAATAAAATCTTTTGAAAAATTTACCGTTTGAGTTTGAAAATGCTGCACATGTTTCATTCTTTTGTGAAATTTCATAAAAACAGTTATGATCATTAAACACGTATCTTTTCAGTAATGATTTGCTTTAACAGAGTTTAACTCATCAGGTTCTATTATTGATAATTGGAAGCAAGATCCGTTAAAAATCCCTGAACCTGTCATTTTGTTTTAAAAATTTTTGCTTATTGTTATTAGATATTTGTTCGCGACAGTGAGAACGTACTTTCCTTAACTCTTCTCTTTTTTTACTAAGAAAAAAACTTGCTGCTTTGCTTTGGGAACAACGGCTACAAGTGTATATTTCTTCCATTATTAAAATAAAGAAAAAATAAAATTGTTGAGTATTAAAAATTTAAAATGAGTCAATATATTGGCAGAAAAAAGCGTGATACAAATTTTTATCGGCAAGTTATAGGAGGATGTTTATTTTTTTATTTTTATTTTTAAAACCACGTGAACTAGATTACAGAAAGATAGACAAGAACAAAAGATGAAACAAAAGTCAAACGCTATCTGATACTAAGCTATAATCAAACCGCCCGAGGACAGCGCCACTCTGGTACTTTAAACGAACCTGGAGGAGTCCCTAACACGACATCACATCCCTAAAAACCAAAGTAAAGGCAATCAAATCCAAGATTAGAAACGATCCGTATTTTTCTTTCGGTCATTAAAGACCGCCACCTGTAAATACTGTAATAGGTGGAATGGTTCACACTATTCTAATTGTTGTACGATGGTATAAAATTTGTACGTGGGGGTTACCCAAAAAAAGTAAGATGTATATAAAAAAAATACAAGTCAATAGTAAAAATGTGGCTAAAATAATGTAAATCTATAACTATCAGCGTGCCACTAAAAAAAAAAAAAAAAAAAAANGTATTCGAATAGGGTTAAGGTAAAGCGAAGACTTTAAAGTCTTCAGGAGACGGAATATCTAGTCTCAATTTTTTGATCTCAGTGTTGTGCCTATCTGTATTTGTAGTCGGGATAGGAGGGCGTTTGTGTGGCCTGAGTTCAAGATGTTTTGTGTCATCAGATATGTGTCCTTTGTAACGGTAATGGGGTCCGTTGTCATCTATGACTGAAAAGTAGTCGATACTAAAAAGACCTAGTTCTTGCTCCAATTGGAGCAACTGTTTGTTAGTTTTGTAAACGTTTTTTCCCTGTATGATTCTGTTTTGTAGAACGGATCGACGATCAATTAGGGGAGTGATTTTTTTGTGAAAATGATCTTGAAAGTTAGTCAGATCTTTGACCATATCTTCACGATATTCTATACGGTTGGAGGAAGTATTCCAGAGCTTAGCTCTAGCGGAAAGTTCTTCTTCGTAAGCGAGACGTCTAACTTGTCTTGCTTCATCTGCTTTTTGTTGACGCACAGCTAGTTCGTGAGCTTCTTTACGTTTTCTAATACCATTTAACCAGTATATGCATCCTGGTGTGTATTGTTGACCTTTAATTTTTGCCTGTCTATTAGAAGTATAAACAGGTTCATCGGTTACATAAGGAAAGAGGTCGTTAGGAATCCAGATGCCCAACTTCTCATGCTACGTTTTCTCCTCATTGAGGAGAGTGGGTTGTGAGGTGGTGGCAGGTGAGTGAGTATTTGAAGTACTAATTGAATTGTTTCCTGGAGATAGTTGACGGGCTCGGTCAAGACATTTGGCTATAACGGCCATTGCGCCTAAAGGCTTGGGTGAAGCAGGGGGTATAGGAAAATTGTAATCACTCTCATCTCTGAGCACTAGTCTTTTGTGATATTTTAAATGTTGTATGGGTTTATTAATATGTTGTGAAGGTAAAAATAAGAAACGGTGTTGTTTAGCACGGTGAAGCTTTTCTTCAAGAGTATTCACGCGTCTATGAGATTTTTTATTGTTACCACGATTGTAGAAAACAGATCTACATGCCCGTTAAAAACGGGATTTTTGTTTTTTACTCCTTTTACTACTGTCTGAGTGGTGTGAACGGAAATTGTCCAATCGTTTTCGGTACATGCGACGGTCTTTGTGTGTGGAAAGGAATTTGTGTCCATTAGCTAAGTATGAAACGTCATATGAAATTCCAAGACGATTTGAATAGACGTGTTTTTTGATATGATGTTGCCACTGTTTATGAATAACGGTTGCATGAAACTGTTTGTTATTTACGTTGTCTTTCGATAACGAGATGGGTTTCTTGATGTTGTGAAAGATGTCTAAATGTTTTCGATGAGAGGCGCAAGCTCTTCTGTTATAAGACATAATGTAGGGGGAGGGGACACGGCACATCTGTGTGTGTTCAGTTCCAAAATTGTAGGTGGTGGAAAAGTTACATGGTGTAAAAATACCAAAATGAAAACGGTAACGTTTATATGAAAAGTTAAAGAAAGTTTTTGTCTGAGAATTTCTTTGTGTGATTTTATCAGCACGTGATTTGACAAGAAAATATCTGTCGAGTAATTTTGAACGAATAAGATTAAAATATTTCTTTTGAATAGAACGTGGGAGAACTTTTTGATGAGAAAAAAAATATTGTAACATCTTACTAATCTGAAATTTCAGATTAGGAAAGCTACAGGTGGAAGAGTAGCTAATAGGGGTGGTTTTCATGTGGTAATCATTTGTGTGTATTTTAAGATGAATATCATTGGTGTTTGCTGAGGGATCAGCTAACTCAAAAAAGAAACTTTTTGATCTTCTGATTTCGTAAATCTTGTTACATCCAGCCCGATTGGATCTAGTCACGTGAAATTTATGGAATGAGACGTCGAAAGAAAATTTTCCCAAAGGGAAAGGTTTTTGAAAAGTAAAAACCATATTTTGATATTTTTTGTAAAAGTGAGGTAAAAATATAGTAAAAACTTCTTTCAGAGGTCGGGTGATAAGGAGAAGGACCTTTCCATAAGAAGCCACCCAGTGGGCTTCTTGCTTCTCGAACGTTAAAAACGTAAAAGGGGTGTAAATAAAAAAACAGTATTTAACTGCGGATTTCTATGTTTATAGGAGGATGTTTATTTGATTGGACATTTTGTTTTATAGTACAATCAAATATCACGTGACTGTAACTTTTGGTTACGGACTTACGGTGCTCTTGTGGTAATTGGGTCCGGGGTCGTCAACTACATTTTGCCTTAAAAAACAAATCGAAAAGAAAAATTATCAAGATCAGTTTTAAAAAACTAAAAAAATAATAGATCGAAAAAAAATGATACGGTCTAAAAAAAGACCGATTATTCGAAAAAGATTACGTTCGCGGATAATTTGTTGTGTTTTAATAATATCAAATTAAAGGCAATTTTTGTTGAGCTCTACATTACGTCATTATTATGAAATATATTTGTTACATATGAGTTCAAGAAAAAGGATCAAGTCACTAAAAAAAACTTTTTTATATTGTATTGTTGTTTAAATTGTTATGATTGATCACAATACTAGAAAAAATTTTTTTTCCATTGATTTGGATACACTCACTTCATATTGACGTTAGTAACCTTCATTTATGGTGTACAGTATATGCATCTTCACGAGAGTCATTACATACTATATAATATATTAATTTATAAAACAGAAAAAATTGTTGTTTGGTGAGTTGTTAAATATAGGAGGTTAATTTTGATTTAACAAAAAAAAAGGTTTGGAAGTTACTTTATATACATGTTTTACAATAAATAGAACTGGGGAAGTACACTAGTAAACACCAAGATCATAATTAATCGTGTATCAGGCAAAAAATCTTGTATCAGGCGTTAAAATCGCAATATTCAAACTTCGAGCCGAATAACTATTAAATATGCCAAATTTTTTGTGCTAATTTATAAGAAAGAAATTTATTTTTTGGGATTTTAAATAACTTTATTTTAAAGCCTTTTTTTTATGAAATGGTTTGACAGTTAATGAACTCAAATATATTCGGTCGGATCAACTAATTAAAGAGTGTAAGAATCGTCAAAATATTAATCCCTTGAGCACAAAAAAAAAGAATCTTCACAAAAAAAATTTTTCTTAATCCTTTTAAAATTTAAAAGGGCCATATGGATAAACCTTTGACTTTTATTTACCGCTTTTATTGCTTTTATTATTATCATCATTAATAATCGATTAAAATTACTGACTTTGTGTATTTATTTATTAGAGCTAAGTGCATATGATTAAACAGAATTTTGGTGGAAACTTCTCATAATCAATATGAAAATCCCTGAACATTCGATAATAATTTGATTATCGTTAAAAAAAAAATTCTATGAAATATTTTCTGACTGAAGTCATTCGTAAGTATTCGATGATCTCTGAATGTTCTTTTGTCAAAGTTGCAAAAGCCAAATAAATTATATTTATTTACCTTTTGGGAAGAAACACAAAACTACTAAATCACATGAAACAAAATTAAGACATAGTGATGTCCTAACCCATGATATTTAACAAAATTTTCCTATTATTTAATAGACAAAAATAAAAAAGGAAAAAAAAAACTTCTAATTTCTTCAATTTCCGCACTTCCTTTACTTTCTGAACTCCCATTCCGCCAGTGCAATTCTCCTCTCTTCCAGTTCTATTTACGACCTATCATCCCTGCTGTAAAGATTCCGTCACATTTTAATGTTTACTAGTTCTAATTGCACTTGCTTTATGTATCTTGAGCTTCCGTTCTGCCAGTGTCATTTTCTTCTAACCTGATTACAGCGCTGACGGGAAAAAACTGACAATAGATTATGAGTACTAAAATCTATTGTGCAACCCTCACTCCCTATCACTAATTCTACACGCTTCGTCGCTTCGGTATAGATTTACTAAATTAAGACATAAATTCCCTATCAATGGCCTCGCTATTGTTAACATAAAAGCCTCTTGAGGGATGAATTTTTTTCACTGATCATAACATTTCCCTTCATCTCAACATTCTTTTCGTTACATATTGACCATAAAAATTTTGATCTCAGGAGAGTAGTATGGCCGTCAAAAAGAAGTTGTTGACTTTCACATTGTTAACTGAAAATTTGAATGGTGGATTTTTCGTGAAATTTGACTCAAAATTTATTTGAGCAAGTTCGTCAGGTGCTTGGTGATATGCGGATATTTTCAACATTCCAAGACTTACACCTAATCTTCATGAGGAACGTTGCCCACGGGTCTTTTGCGCAAAATGTTCCCCACACATGAACTCTAAAAAGGTATTTTGCTTTTGCACGAGTTTGCCTTTCGAACTTGAGTTGTATTACGACCATTTGAAATGTTGTTTCATCAAAAAATATAACTTTATTCCACCTTTTTCTTTGATGAGCTCTTGCCCAGGAAACACATCAGCTTCAAGTGAGAATAGGAACTGGACGAGAAATACAAACTTTATATCCGAGCTTCTGAAGATTTTCTCATTCGTGGTGCAATATTAAGATAAGATTTTTTAAGAGTTCCAATAATTTCAACACTTGACACAACTCTGTGCGATTTTGTGACATGACCAAGGCAACGACATTTATTAGGTAAGACGCTTTGGACGACCTGAATGACTTCTTTTTTAAGATGTTTAGCCCATCTAAACAATTTTTTTTCTAAAAGTTATTTCCACCAGATTAATTCTGAAAGAGAGTTGTTTTTAGTTTTTAAAGGAATTAAAGGTGTACTCCTTTCTTGGAGGTTTTTCAGTTACTCACAACATCTTTTTATGAAGTAATATATGTTGCGAAATAATAGTTCCTTCGCCTTATTTTTTTTCTCTTCACTCGTATACTCTATTTTATCCTCGGCGAAAAGTCTCAAATCTTTTATAAAGTCGACATCTATTATTTTAACTTGGTAATAGTCCGGTGCATCTATCTTCCGGTTTCTATGTCTGATATGCAATAATGTGTTATTCGGCACCAAAAACTCATAGATTGATAGGAAATATTTATTATTATTAGGGATTACTGGGTACTGGCTATCTTTTTGCAAAGAACATGAAGGTATATGATACAGCTATTCCGTTCTTCAAGTGAAAAACTTTCATAGAGAAAAGCCTGGGAATTTAATTGCGAAAAAGGATGATTTTAAATAAAATTACTAATCATATAATTATGTCGTCAGTATTACCAATTATCGTTCAGATATAGATATATTAATCTTCATGTGAATTCTCTGATTTAATACCACATTAATCGAAAATAAGAATCGTGAATTTTTTTTATGTATTAAATATATCTATCTATATCCGAGTGTGTGTAACTTGATAATTATAATATTGATGACTAATTATATAATACATTTGATAATTATGATGTCATAATCATATCATTGATTAACAATATTAATAATTGTCCTTTTTCGCAAAAAAAAAAAAAAAAAAATTTACTAGACGTTTCCTCAATGAATACCGGAAGTTCAAGCAAGCGCGTTATCATACCAAGCTGATTATAATTAATTTCACAAATATCGGCTTCTTAAAAAATTAAGAAAATCCTGAATCCCTTTTCTTGAGGACAAAGGGACAAAGCAGGATCATATACGAATGCAAGATAAAAAGAACAAAGAGAACGAAAATCAAAGGTGCGTTTTGTATAGTGAACTTTGTGTCATAGAAAGTATTTCTTCTTTTTTTAATATTCTTTTGCTTTCTTTTTTAGGATTGGTCTCAAGAGTCCAAGGGAATTTTTAATAGTAATAAATATTTTTTGTTAATTTTTGAATTTTTGGTGCTGAAAAACACATTTTTATCGCAGAGATTAAAGGGTTAAGAAAAAGGTAGTTGATATACGCAACGCAATTTCAAAAATTGAGTTAGCCGAAAAAGGAGTGGAACAGTCAGAACGTGACCTCCGGATTCGTAAAGCAAGTGCAATGGTCTGTAAATTAAAATTAATTAACATAAAATGCGCCGGAATCTTATCAGAAGCAGTATATAAATTGAGCTGGAAGGTCTCTTGGTCTGCTAATTACAGCAGATAGTGCATTTTACTAAACTGGTCTAACTTAAAAAATTCCCTTACGACAAGTAAACATGGACCCGTCTCTGGATGGTATAAATATTTAGTAGAAACATATGTATCAGCAAAGAATCTTTACGTCTATTGATGTCGATCGAACCTCCTCTGATGATTAATCTTCAATTACAACGCCCGCCGGCTTCATATAGCACCATTAAAGATAACAGAATTTGGATTGGTTCTTGCTCAGAAAGAATCAAAGATATTATATATCTGATATGGCAAGTTTCTAGAAAAATTTCACCGTCCAACATAACCTCCGATATCATATATTGAGCATTAGATATACACTCCGAACATTTTGACGAATCTCATCTTACCCCAAAATACGCAAACAATCCTTGACGTCATATAATGGTTGTCATTTACATACACCATATTATTTTGGAGTCGACCCATGCATTAATTATTGATACTTTCACCACTAAACGAGCAACTGACATTATACACCAGCATCTACATTTACGTATTCTAAATCAATTTCACACAACACGTACAGAATTATGGTATATAATGATTTCCTCAACGAATTCAACCTCTTTTGCCGAGTGATACTATTCTTCTAACTCTTCTAATACTTCCCGATCATGACAACATCACGTTTTACACCGAAGATTCCCTCACAACTAATAGAGATACTTCATCACCACCCAGAGCCTAGGCTGGATTATACCTTTGTCAGATACACCCAATATCGCCTTTAACTGTGCGTCACGCACGATTATTTCCATCATCAACAAATGTAGAAGCTTTAGCAATATGTACCGCTTTAGCGACTTGTCCACGAAATTCAAGTGTCAACATATATACTGACTTGTTTTTCATCATCCAGACTAATTCCTAGACGCGCACTTAAAGTGATATGGAAAGCGATTTTTTTATCATAAGCCAACTCAAGCTGGAAGATCTTTTACACAAAGTTAAAGCACACTCGGGCGCCTCTTTAAATGATGAGGCTGATGCACAAGCAAAATTGGGACTCACCTCTCAATATTCGATCAACACTAATCCAACATCATCAATTGGGCCTTAATATAGAATGGGGATACAATTGTTGACAGGGACATCAGGAAAAATGTTCATACGGTGGTTAATTATTTAAAATTCAACGAATTCATCCAACAAGGGCGTTTACGTTACATTCTCACATTCGAAGGACGAAATTGGAAATGGACAAAATTATGGATATTGACGTCTCTGGTCGTGTTTACACAACATTCAAATTCTTAAACAAATTTACATCAAGCACAAGAGCATATTTTACAATGCTTATCCAATTGTTGCGACAAACTTGCACTTTTACTCGAAGACTCGATCGACAGAATCGGATGGTCTTCTCAAGACTCGCCAGTACTTTCAATAATTAATTACAGTTGCATAAAATTTATAGTTATGAACTTATGATGATTAATTTTAGTAAATTCATTATTTTTTGATTTGTTCAGGAGATTAATAATATTTAGATAACGAAATTGTTAAGTATAGAGATTTAAAATAGTTTGAGATTTAAATAAGGGTTTTAAAGATATGTAGGTTTATTGTTTTTATATGGACCTTCAATTATCAAAAAAAAAAATTATCAAATCAAATTATGTATTTCATCCTCTAATATGAACTAAATTTAAATAATAATCAATAATTAAATGAATGATGTTAGAGCGGAGCACAAGGGGGTGAAAATATATATATTACTGATGTTTTTTTATATTTTTTTGACTCTCTTAGACAATGTAAATATCTTTGTATAATAATATAATATTTATGCAAGATGCGTTATGTTAAGCGCTGCATGTATGGTAAAATTACTAAAAACAAGATTTGCTTAATATATTTAAAATCATTAAGGCGTAACTTTACTTTTGCAACTGAATATCATTTTTGAATGATTTGGTTTTTTCGTTAAACCCTCTAAACAAACTTTTAGAACAGTGAATTTTTTGAAAGTGCTGCGCCGCAAAGTACACATTCCGAAAAGAATTTAAAAACCAGTTATTATTTTAATAAAATAATTTTGTGATAAAATCTAGAAAATATATTATTAGACGACTTATTATTGCTTGTCATAATATTGAATATTTACAAGACATACAGTATATACAGCACAAGGAAAATATTGGACCACCTAATTCGCTATTATAGCCATGAAACAGTAAAGATTTTTTTTCCAATAATTAATCTGCCTTTTATATTATAAGCAAAATTGTTAAATTACATTTACCTTAAAAATTATATAAATTTCTGATTCAAATTGATTATGCTTTTAACTGTAACAAACATAAAATAAACTACCATAATTTTATAAACAATGCAATTATTAATAATTACCTAAAATAAACTATTCTTCGTCCTTATACTGAGAAGACTATTAAAGGTTATTCCGCTTTTCAATGTCACTGACTGAGGTGAAACACAATAAGTTGCTAGTGTATATTATACAGCAAATCCGCGGAAAATTTTAAAACAATTAATTTTATCAATTCGTGCAAACAACGTCAACAACGCTACTTAATATACCAATCCAGGATATGACAAACCTATTTTGTCTCTTGAATTATAGAATGGCATAGTCAAAGAAAAATCAGATTCCGTGGTTAGGAAAGTAAGCCCAATACCGTAGATGACGGGGAGAAGAATATTTTACGAGAGGTAGAAGTCATCTTTGAATGAGTAAGAAAATTTTAATGCTTAAGTACTGTACCAATATTTGACGTAAGTTTAGATATTAGAAGTGACCAATTCTAAAAAAAAAGCGCTCAAAATTGTTATCAATAAAGAAGACTTGAATTCATTTAAGGAGCTTGCATATAAAACTAGATTTGTTATAAAATATGCAATTCCTTAACTGGCATCGTTACTCAAGAAAGAATCATTTCTATGACACAAAGATTAGTCTCGCTCATTAACCAAAATGCACTTTGCAAATTATCTCCTTTGCTTTATTCCTTTTACTTTTGCTTGTATATTCTATTTTGTCTTTAGCGAAGAGTCTTATATTTGGCTTGGTAATGTTCGATTGCACCTGTTGACTTCCAGCTTTTTATTTATTGAAGTGGAATCCATCTTTGCAAAAAGAAAATAGAAAAAAGAAAATGAGGGAGGGTAACGAGGAGGGTATAAGATGCATATTCTGGTGAACGATTAAAAAATCAAGGATTACTGCATTATAAACTTCCACCCTTTCATGGAGAAAATCCTGGAAATTTTGATTGTGAAAAAGGATTTACTATTATGTCATCGATATTATATTAGTACATGAAAAAATTATTAATCATGCGAATTCTCATTCTCTGATGGCTCTGTGTGTGATCGCAACACAAATGTTTATTATTATCCTTTTGCTAACAAATCCATTTCCTCACTCACTATGATGTAAGTGACTATCATGACAGTATCATGTGGCGCTGAATCCCATGACGATTTAAATGTTTAATAACGATTTATGCAAAATTCTCAAGAAAAAAAATCACGGTTAGCGAGAGATGTTATCAAAGAGAGAGTACGGATCTTAGTTCATTTAATGCGAGTCCCAGGCTCCCAGAACCAAAGTTATTACTTTAAGATTCCTTATAAATTTTGGTAGATTCTTTTTTACAATTTTTCTTTTTTTTTTTTCTAGTTATTTTTAACTGCATAAATCCTTCATGCTGTTTGAATTCAGTAAAGGCAGAGGTGTCAGTTACGGATAAAGAAATATTTAATTCGTGATCCGTCTGAAATCCACTAATACGTTTTGGGGAATTATTTTGCAAATTAATTTAGTGGGAAATTCAGATAAGAGCAATAGATATAGCACGCAGGAAATGTGAAATGAATTTACAAATTATTAGAGAAAAGTAGTTTAGAAGAACTGACATTCCAAAAGTATCAACTATTCAAATTACTAGATACACCGCAAAATATAGTACAATAAGTTAGACAACCTGTGTTTAATAGAAATAAATAATTTTAATACTTTTTTTTTGTTTTTTCTTGTTTATAACCTTTAAATAAATTATTTACCAGCATATTAATAAAAAAATATCAATTTTGTGATTGTTACACCTCTTGTATTGAATAATTATGGCATTTTTAAAGGCCGGAATCCAGCGTCGCTAAAGAAAAAATTTTTTAACTAATCGTTCAATGCAAAAATTTTTGATGGATTTTGATTCCCTCGGTTTTAAGCAATTGGTTACACTATTTTTCAGCCGGGTTGTAATACAAATTTGGCTGGTTACTTTTTAGGCAATATCGCCAATTTGTATAATAACGTAACCTTAAATGGCAAGTATACGTTGATCAAACTTGTGATATTAATATTTGACGATGCAAATTTATACTCGGAACATTATTATATAACACTTAAAAAAAAAATTCTGAGCAAATCAGCTCAAAAGCCATTTAAGGGATAATTAATTTGTAAAACCAGTTCCCCGAAATTTATTAGTAGTTTTCACTGGTTCGGAGACGGATCACGAATTAAATTTTAAATTGTGTTATAGTTTATATGTTCTTTTTATTTAACGTTTTATTGCTTTTTTTTATCTCTGGTGCAAATTTATGTATTTTTTTTTCTGATATCCGATTTTCATTTATGTTGAACCCATTCAGCGCTAATTTAATATAATATTCATCCCAAAGTTTCAAATAGTTTATTTGTTACACATAATTTTTTACTTCTATTTGACGCCACGCCAGATTTGCGGTTTAACGGATTAATATAATTATTATATCAATTGAAATTCTGTAACATTGTGTTATTTACGGAATCAAACCTTCAATTTTCATTCGTATGTTGCGTATTTATGAAGGCTAAGTGCATATTATTGATTTGATTGATTGATTCATCGGAATAATCTTTAAAGACACTCCGGCAGAATTCTAATCAAAATGAAAATCTTTCAAAGAAAATGCTGTTTTCCCTGAATAATATAGAACATTCAATAATAATTGATCATTATTGTTTTAAAAAAAATTCTTCGAAAAAATGAAATCCATTTTTTTACAAGAAAGTGAAAAATACATAAAAATAAAATAATACCGCTTATATAACTGAAGTCGTTCGTAAATATAAAATAAGTGTTCGATATGATTTAGAATGTTCTTTTTATGTCATTTATTTATTTATTTACTCTTTAGGAGGAAAAACGAAAGAACTACTAAATCAATGTAACAAAATTAGGCACAGTAATTATTCCTAAATCATGGTAAAAAAATTTTTTCCTATTAGACAAAAATAAATCATTTTACCGTAAATTTAAAATCGATCAACGAATTTAATTTTCTCGATTTCCGCTTTACGTATATTGAGCTTTCGTTCTACCAGTGTCCTTCTAACTCGATATGCGAAATGGTGCAACGTCTTTTCTTTTCTTTCTTTTTTTTTTATTGCTTCCGCAATGCGATAAAATGTGTTATTCAACACCCAAAACTCAATACGATTATTGAGTTCATTGTTTTATTTTTAAACTAAACTAATTGGAGTTTTTCTACTATTAGTAATCTTATCAGTTATGTAAAAACTCGTCAATGGTATACCAGCCAGGGCTCCAGCGGTTCACTCGTGAGACCACCTGCCACAGCTCCTGTTAAGGCTCCGACGGTAGTGCTAACGATAGCTTGATTAGTTTTGTCTGAAGATCCGATTTTGATAAAAGTGCTTTGTGAATGGTGGCTAATATAATAGTTGATAAAATAAAATATGGAGGGTTAGTGATATCGGTAATCTCTAATTTTCTAATTTCGGGATAATTTCCTTGTCAAATGGCTCGTCTCGAGCAGAGATTAGCTCAAATATGATTAACTTGACAATGATTTAATTCGGGAGGGTAGTTTACATTTAGTCAGTTGGTTAGAGTAATTGCCTCGGTGGCTAATTCTTCTCTAATATAAACTAATGTTTGTCTTCCTTTACCGGTTAAATCCTCTAATTCACAAATCTATTACCAGGCAAAGCCTCTTATATTCAAAACCAATCAGAGATAGGATTTCTCCCTTCTTGCTGGTAATGATACTTTGTCAAATGGCTTGGCTAATTTGCTCGGGAGATAATTCAGCCTAAATCTCCAACCTTAAACAAGCGAATATCTCTTTCTCATGTAAAAATCCATTCTCCTTTAATCAATTAAAGACGATTGTAAACTTTGTCTAAAAAAGAGGGCAAGCACAGATTTCCGTCTGTAAAAAAAGGGAGTTGTGTAATATCCTGTTAGCCTGTCTTTTTAAGCAGTATCAGCAGTCATTCCAATAGATAGAATAATCCACCGTACTAACTTATAACTTTTAACCTCTCATCAAGTTCCTAAATAATTGGAAAAGGTATTATCCAAAATTAGTAATAATGTAATGTTGTCGAGTATTCGATAATTGGCTCGTTCGGCTCTTTTCAATTAGTCAGATTTCCCACTCATCCAATTTTCCATTGGGAATTTCTTTAAATAAGCCTGATAATTAATAGAAGTCCAGCTATCCAATAATCACCTCTTATAATCTTTTTCTGGTTTTTTTGTAATGGCTTAATTAGACTTGACCAATGTTTTAAGATTTCCAATGTATTTACTAGTAGTATGCCATAGATTATTATTAAGAACCCCTGAGACTCGTGAGATCAATCCTAAAAAAAAGAAGGCAGAAGAACATTAAAAGTGCTCAAAATTGTTCATCAAGTAAAGAAGATAGGAGTTTGCATAAAATATACATGTTGCCGAATTTTTTTTTCAATTTCAGCCGTATTTTGGCTTCAAAGAAGCTGCTTGTATGTAGATCTCGGAAAAATTTATTTAAGCCTCGAATAATTTGTGCCAGATCTGCAGCAATTTTTAGCAGACTTCAGAAAGTTTCGGGCAAAGCCGAAATAATCTCGGTCAGACTTTTCTCTTTTTTATTGGAATAAAATCCAGAAACATATATTAAATACAGGTTGCCGAAAATTTTAGAGGCTGCCGAAATTTTACAAGCGAAACTCCTTAAAAATCTTGCTTAATATGTTTGTCAGACCTTGATCAACCTATTCGAAGCCTTATGTTATCCAGATCTATGAAATCAGTTGACTTTGCGGCTGAAATAGCCGAAATTCGGCATGTATATTGTAAAATATGCAATTCCTTTATTTCCTTGACTGACATCATTACTCAAGAAAGAATAAACTGACGAGTCGCTTTAGACAAGCAGTCAAGCGTTTTGTTCTCTCAGTTTGTTCATAACTTGAACAACGATGCCAATATAACAAATCTATTTTGCTAAGAATAAATAAACTGGCAGTTCGCTTTAGACAAGCAGTCAAGCTTTTTTACTCCCAGCTTATTCGTAACTTAAGCAAATAAAAATGTTATCTCTTTTTTAACTGTTTAAAGAAGGTACATAATGGCTCCTCTTCTAGAACCGTAGACTTTAAACAGGGAAATATTTTTAAAAAAGAGCATAAAAGAGGAAACACTTTTGTCTCGCTCATTAACCAAAACGCACCTTTCAGTTGCAAATTATTTTTTTCCTTCGCCTTATTCTTTTACTCTTGCTTGTATATAATTTTGTCTTCGGCAAAGAGTTAAAGGTTTTTTATTATTCAAAATATTTGTACCTCGCTTGGTAAAGAAAGTGAAGAAAAGAAAGTGAAGAAATGAAGGTTATAAGATACCGTATTATATAGCTATTTATTGTTTACATAGACGCGTATGTCGCGTATTCTGCTATCTGATGCTACTGATGTTGCAAGTGAAATGATTAATCTATCAAGTTACACAAGTTACACAAGTCCGGATATAAACATATAGTGTATACAGTCAAACCTTTATATAACGATATGTCGTGACATATATGAAATTTTTAGGAAATATCGTTATATCAAAGTTATACCGATATTTATATGTCCTCACATATAGTGGGAAAATAAAATTTTATCGGTGAATTCTCCGATTCAATTTATTAGAACGGGTTTTAATTAACACTGTTATATTCGTTATATAAATTCACTTATTACATTTGTATTGTAACACAAGGTTTATTTTACAAAAAAAGGTATCTGTACGTCTTAGACTCTTAGTCCTTTCACGTCTAACTGAAGTAATCAAAGTCACGGTTTTCCTTACTAATGAAAGCACAGTATAATTTTATCGGTTTGTTCTCATAATTATACAGATTAATCCCAAAAAACAATATCATATAAATAGGTAATAAGAGATCAGTGCTTGAGAAACTAAATTTGGGTTTCATTATCTAAAAAGGGAGAGATCTACAGTTCTACGCATTATTTTGATCAAGAGCCATGCGGACTTTTTTGGTTCACAGATTGTGCAACATAATTGTGTCCTTCGCACTTAAGTATATTAAAAAAACTAATATATATATATATGAAAGAGAGGGAAGGATTTATCGAATCAAAAAAGGACATTGATTACTGTAGTACAATATTCTGAATCAAAAAAAGTATACAATTATATAGTGGTGGACCAAATGATTATCGTATAGTCATGTGAAATGATATACAGAGAACGTGAAGCAAAAGTTCGTGTAATGGAACTGTCCAACCTTGAGAAGGAGCGGGAGTTAAAGTTACATTAGAAGTTAGAATAGTTCATTGGTTAGAATAGCTTTATCAATAGTGAATTATAAAAGTAAAAATTTGCATTAATTAAATAAAGGATAAATCTAATTGTAACAGCCTGTTACGCGTCTTATTTGTAACAACCCCCAATTTTATCCAATTAAAATTTAAGATCAGGCGTAATGTAAACAAAAACAAAAGATCAGTCGTGTAACTAAGACAAAAGAATTTTTTAAAAAATTTCAAGAAACTGCTTATAACTTAAAATTTTGTCTATGAAACTGTCTTAAATACATTAAGTAAAAGTTTTCCAAATTAAATTTTGCATATAAAAATTTTATTTGTGAAACACATATTAAATTTAAATAAAAAAAGGATGTTACAGATAAGATATATAACAGGCTGTTACAAATACATTTTTTCTTAAATAAAAATGAAATCCGCATTTTATACTCATTACTCTTTGCAAATTAATTAATACAATACATACAACGGAGTATAGTAAATTTCATACACTATCAGTTATTACGTCATACAATACTCAATAGACAACCCATACTATACTACTATTCGTCTTACCTAAAAAAGTCATATTTGCAATTAAAATTTCTGTTGCATATTTCCACAATTCCACTAATAAACATGAAGAATAAATGAATCTGCGATTTATCTTCAGTTACTCCAATTGAAATAGTATCCAATTTCGTTGAATATATTGATAATTTTATAACTCCGAAGATTTTTGCAAATATTCAAAATTTGAAATCAAATTGTTTTAAAAATCTTCAATATGATTTCCAATTAATCCATCATCATTTTCTAAAACTTGCTTTAAAATATCCGGGTCTTCATAATATAACTTTTTACAAGAATTAATTTGGTCCAAGAAATAATATGAAAGAGGAACTTCAAGATCATTAATCGTCGTGATATTTTATATTGAAGGATTTGGTTCGCATAAGTTAATATTAATCATTGTATTATCCATTTCCATAATCGGATAATTCATTTTTTATTTTAGATTCTTTATTATTTCCTTATTAAAAAAAGTAGCTAATGCTAATAACTTTTCAAGCAGTGATGTTCTTGGAAGTTTTCGATAACATTTTGTTGAAATTGGAGGTTCCATTGGAATAATTGGATGATGCGATATTTCAATACCCTGTAAAAAAAGTCGATCCGTTTTTTATATTCCGTCTTTTTCCGTGAAAGGCTCAATTTTACAGTAGGGTGCACTAGAAGCTTCCAATCAAAATCTTTTGGAAATTGGACATACGGTAGTTATTTATTGTATCTTCCAATGAAGTTCCACTAGCATTCGTTTATTACTAAAATTGGCAATTATATTTATAATTAAAATATTCATAGTTAAACTACTAGTTGTTTGATAACTAATTTACATTTTCGCGTCTTTAAAAAATGAAAAGACCTAGAACTTATCGCCTTACTAAATATATAAAGATTCTTGGAAAACAAAATTCATAAAATACTTATGCATGTGTTGAAAAGCTAGAAAATAATGAACTTTTAAAAAATACCTTTACTAATAAAGAGCCACAGGTCAAGAATCATTTGAAAAACTGGTACATTTTCGAGAAAAAATTGGGAATCAAGAAGAATTAGATAGAATTATATATTAAACAGATAATGAAGAAGGAGAAACTAGCCAAAAGCATCAAAAAGGCCAAAATAATAATAATTTTGGAGAGAATAATTATGAAAAGGTTTTAAAATATCTGAGGACTATGCAGGATATTTTTAAAGTTTCAAATTTTAAATTAATAGAAGAAGCTTCGGTCAAATCACATTTTTCAATAGACCAGTTCATTTTTGATCGTTCGGGTTTTTTATCGCAAAATCCGTTAACCATGTGATCAAGAATTAATTACACCAATTTTTAATTTTGATCGGCCTATTTTTGATCGTAAAAAATTTTGAAAAATGACATGCCGACAAACTATTGAAAATTCATTAATAAACTTTTTTATTAAATCGAGTCAAGTTTTTGATGACTCTGATAATGAATCAAATAATTCTGATTCTAAGAAGAGTTATTTAATGTTGAAATGATTCTTCTTGGATTATGTACTTTACTACTAGATTCTCGTTATTTAGAGTTACGTTTTCAAGAATGGTGGCACTTAATAGTTCCTAAATATGATGACATTAGATTTAAAAAAAATTATGGGAATGGATTCCCAAAGCTTACAAATCTTATAACTAATATTGAATCACATTCAATTTTTCAATCAACTGGTAATAGACAGCAAGTTCCAGTTGAATTACAACTAGCTATTTTTTTACGAAGAGGTTCAAAGGATGAAATTTTTAGTATACGCTCACATTATGGTATATCTGAGGGTACTGTTTATCTCTATTGTAAGAGAGTCATGTTAGCTATTCTTTTATTAAAAAGTTCATAATTATATGGTCAACAGAACAAACAAGAAAGATGGTTCATTAGATGTTGGAAGATTTGCAATGTTATTGGTGCTATTGATGGTACTCATATAATCTTGGGAATTGCTCCATTAAAACAACCTGAAATATATTGAAATCGTAAAAAAAAATGTTCAATTCAATGTCAAGGTATAGTTGATTATCGTGGTATTTTTTTATTGATTATGAAATAGGATGGCCAGGATCAGTTCATGATGCAAAGTTATATCGAAATTCATTTTTTATCAAAATGTTTCTACACTTATAAAATGGTGAAATTATTTATTAGGAGACTCAGCATATCCATTATCTAATTTTCTTATTAAACCTTTTACTAATACTCAAAATAATTTACAAATACAATTTAATATTACTCATTCTTTACACTGTGTAGTAGTGGAAAATACTTTGGTAGATTTAAAAATAGATTTGATTGTTTAAAAGAATTCAATGTTAGAAAAATATCAACTGCAGTTTGTTTAACTGAATGTTACATAATTTTTTGGAAACAAATAATGATAATTGGGAAATAGATGATGATGATAGTGATGATAGTGATTATGAATTTATGATAATGATGATCATTATATATGACATTTAATTAAATCAATAAAATTTTCAATTTAGTCCAAAAAAGATTATTATTATTATAGTGTATTATATTATATTATAAAACTAAAAACTAACATACTACATTAATCTTTTCTTTGATATTTTAATTCTAATTCTTCACCTTTAAATCAAATTCCATTTTCATTCTTTCCCTTTCACGCTCTCTTTCATATGCCAATCTTTCTTGCTCAATTTTTAATCTCTCCTTCTTTAACTCATTACTTTTTTCTAATTTTTCCTTTTCTAACATCATTTTCTGCTCCCAAATTTTTCACGTGTTTGATTCATTTCAGTTATTGCTTCAGTCGTAACTTCAACATTATTTTTGTTCTTTTGTTTTTATTATTTACCTTTTTAGTTTCAATTTTCTCATTAATAATATCTATTGACTTATTAGCCAAAAATGAAGGATATATTTTCACGTGTCCCGAAATTATATCTAGCCTATCATACCATCCCCAATCTTTACGTTCTGATTATTATGCTTCTTAACACTTTCATATTTTTTTATTAAGCGTGTAAGTTTATCTTAAATAAATAATTAAAAGATTCCTCTTTATATGGTAAAATATTCTTTGCCATATCATTATAAAATTTAGTTTTATTTCCTTTAGACCAAGATGTGAAATTTTCTTGAAGATAATCAAGTAAAATCTCAATTTCACTATTTTTCCAACCAGATTTTTCACCAGGATCTTGATCTTTGTCATCGTCATCTTTTTTCTTAGCATGAGATTGTTTAGAAATACACGTCTGAGAAATTTCATCATCTTCATCTCTAAACTAAAATAAAATGTAATAAATATTTTATATTCACAGTTAAAATATACATTACAAAACTTACCAAATAAGTTTCATCGTAATTTTCATCTAATTCAAATAAAGTGGAAGACAAATGAAGTATTTGAGGATCGTATTGCTGTTGAAAAACATATTGTTCTTGAAAAGGAGGATGAAAGATACGTTGCTGTTGCTTTTGAAGCTGGCTTCGCTGCTGGTGCTGCTGAGGAGGTTCAGAAAGAACACTTTACTGTTGCTGTTGAGGTTGAAGAATGATATTTTGTAATTGTGGTTCAGTAAGAATTGGTTTAGGTAAAATTAAACGCGGAGCAGTTTGTGAGATTAAACGCGTTTTCTTTTGAGCTTCAGCTCCATAAGAAGCAGCAGAAGCCCTATAAAAAAAAAATGTCCAGTTTTTGTTCAGAAATTGTCCGCCTATATTTTCCGGACAAAAACAGGATCTATAAACATCCGGAATATTGCAATATTCCGGACATTCATAAATAAGGAATTCGTCCGGTTTTTGCCATATATTTGTCCGTCATTTGTCCAAATTTTGATTATTCATAAATAAGTAATTTGCTTATATGATTTACTTTATAGTTTTTTTTAGCAGTATTATTTATTTATTCAAATTAAAAGCATAACAATTAAAATCATAGAGTCATAGACTATTTATTATATTATAAAAACAATAACTTTATTATAAATTAATCAATTAATACGATATGCTCCACTAATATTATAATCTACTTTCATTAAAATTAAGATACAAGTAAATTTAACCTTGCTGAATAATTTTACTTAAGCATAAAAGAGTAGTTTCATTTGAATAAAGTGATGAACTTACGTTCTAAAGTTGGAAATAGAAAAGTAAAATTCAAAAATTAGTATTCAATTAAAAAATGCAACTTATCTACAAATATTGTACCTACACTTATGAAAATCTAAATTACAAGTAATTTCGACCTCATTGAACAACTTTACTTAAGCACAAAAGGGTAATTTCATTTGGTGAAAGTGGTGAAATTACGCTCTGAAGTTTAAAACAGAAAAACGAAAATTTTGAAAACCAGTACTATTATAAAAATCATGATTTCCTCTATAATTATCATACCTATGCATATGAAATAAGTATAATTTAACATTGCTGGACAACTTTGCTTCATAAAAGATAGCTTCATTTGGCCAAAGTGATGAGATTATGCGTGAAATTACGCTTCAAAACTAGAAAATAAAAATACAAAAGTAAAAAGAAGAAATTAAGGTACTATATATTATATAAAATATTATAACTTTACAAGAACAAGTAATAAAAACTGAGTTAAAAGAGTTTATTATGTGTTAGTTTGTACTTTTGAAAAAAAAGGGAAAAAAGGGGGAAAAGATTTTTTTTACAGCTATCACGTAAACAATAAACAAATAAACAAATAAGGTAATCACGTGATATCAGTGACGATCATTTGAATTTTGATCTTAATAAAATTAATGTTTATGTAAAGCGAAAAAATCAACTGCACGTGGTACAGTAATTCTATAAAATTAAATTTTTTATTGTTCAACCATTAATTATTGAATATAGTAGAGGAAAAAGTTGTGAGATATTTTGCTGTAACTGTCAGTTATATACACTACATTCTCGTTAAATATGGTGGATGATCAAAAAAATTCAGACGAATTCCGGACGATCAAAAATATCAAATTCCGGATGATCAAAATTCCTTGGACATTTTCCAGACATATTCTGTACATTCAAAAAATTCCGGACATTTTTTTTGGGCAAATTCCAGATGATCAAAAATTCTGGACATTTTTCTAGACAAATTCCGGACAATCAAACATTCAGAAAATTGGTTTTCGTCCTAAATCCTGCAATATCTGGACAATTTCCGGACATTTTCTGGATGCACCCGGACATTTTTAGATACAATTTCCGGACATTTCTTTTTTATAGGGAAGAGTTAGGACGTTTAGTTGAAGTTTTTCCGTTAAATTGTAATTGATTCATGTTCTTTTAAAATAATTCCACCTTTTTTTTTGTTCGCAAAGTTCGGATCGTCGATCAGGTCACACGATTTTGTCAGCCAATAATTATCTACTCAAAACCCGATCAAAAATCCGAACTCGAAAATGCATTCCTAACATGTGATCAAAATCAAAATTGAGTACTGTACTTTGATCGGCTTATTGAACGGTTAACCTTGGTCACCTTATTTTTCGTATAATGAAATATTTTCTTTTTTAAAAATGGCAAATAAGCAATACCATGAAGGTATAGTAAACTTTTTGAGGGCGCATATTAAAACTTTACTAAGCATCAGACACGTTAAAAAAAAGCGATCAAAATGATACACATTTTTGTTGTTGTTGATCAGGTCACACAATTTCATCAGCCAATAATTATCAATTCAAAATCCGATCAAAATTCCGAATGATCAGAATTAAACAGGCCTAATATCAACATTATCTACACGTAGCCATCACTCGTAAACTGAGTAAAAAAGAAATACCAAAATTTGAACATCTTCATTTAAGAATGTCAGCAGCAAATGGCCAGCATTTTTGAATTTTTAAGCCCATTTTCTGTTTTACTAAAAAGAAAAGCTTTATCTAATCGCGAAATTAAAAATTTAAATACTTTTGGAGATGATTAAAATTAAAATTTAATAATGAATTATTTATTATTAGATCCAAATATTAATTATACTTAATATTTAATTATACTGTAATAGGTGGCGTCTTCGATAAGAATTTCCGGTGGGTTTCTTCCTTGTTTTGCGCACCAATGTCAGTTAGCACTTGGTGACATTTTTAAAGAATCTTCAGCTTTAAAAATTGCCTCTAGTAAGCTATTATAGTTGCAGCTTACTTTAAAAATGCGAACAATAGTTATTTTATTAGTAAGTTGTGAGATATGCAAAAAGAGCTATATAACAAATGCTATTCAATTGTAATACCTGGTGAAACAGTCACTATTATTGTTTTAAAAGTCTTGTTCTATCTAAACAGGCTTTACGAATAAATATATTCTTTTTATTTATATAATCAATCAATTAATTAATTTTTTATTTTCATAGAATCTGGCAATTCATCTTGACAAGTTGGTTCATCAAACACTGATGAACTTTATCTAAATTCAGAATTTTGTCAAATACTCTAGATAATAATTGGTGGGAAATGATTGAGCTTTTACCAGGATATTTATTACCATATTGTAGTATCTTAAACAAACTTCAATTTGATAAAGCACGTTCATTTGAATTGGAGCCGATTTCAGATCCAAATTTAGGTAATCAAATGATCGATCGACTAGAAAAGAGATGATCAATGTACTCTCTTTTATGCTTCATCCAAAATATCGTCTAGGATATTTTAATCCTGAACTTAATAATTTATCATACTTCTTTGGGACGGTATTTAACATATTATTACAAAGCATAGTTGAACTCTTTAATGATGAACTTTCGGACAATTCGTAATGTCTTTAAATTTTGGTCTTTTGTAGCGAACTGGGTGCAGTTGCTTTAAAAATTTTTGAAATGTGCGTGAATACAGCTTCGGTTGAGAGAATACGTTCATCTATGGATTTTTTACATACAGCTCGTCATAATCGATTAACATCGAGATTTTATTTTTAACTATTTTTTAACAGTATTTTTTATTATTTTTAACTTTTATTCTTAATAAGTGGATGGAATTTTTATATTTAACGATTGGAATTAATGAATGAAATTTTTATTAACTTAATGAATGGGATCAATGATTAGGATTTAATGATCAGGAATTTTTTATCTTTAACGATTGGAAATAATTTTTTTATCTTTTAATAAATGGGATTTTTATTATTTTTAACTAATGGATTTTTTTATTTAATGATTTTTTATAGTATGATAAAGTGTTGGCAATGTGTCAACTTCGTGCATTTATTAATTTTTTACTAAGAGAAAACACAAATTCTGGATCCGAATGTTGTGAAGATCCCGAAGTTGAAGATTTTGAAATTCCTGAAGATATTGAAAATGATGAAGATAATAATATTATTAATATAGAGCATTGGGAGTGAGAATTGAATGAATGGGATGAGAAGTTAATAGAAGTAGTGGCACGAATAGAGGAGGAGGTATTAAGAGAAAATTTAAATAGTAATTTGGAAGGTGATCTTTAAATGAATATACGCATCCAGCAATAGATAAAAGAGAAAATCTTTAAATGCTCCTAATTACTTAAATGAAATGTTAAATATGTAAATTGTCTAAGTGTTAATAAATCTTTGTTTTTTATTGGATAAAATATTTCACGTGATTAAGATGCTTCCAAACTTTCAATAAAAATCTATTGGAACTGAAATAGGCGTTGGAATCGGAAGATGGAAGGTTCAAAAGTTAATTTATATGTCTGGAAAGGGATTTCTTTTATTACTAGTAACTTGGATTAGACTATGTCAATTTTGTATATAATCTTTTAAATCAAATTACACAAAATATTGATATCTTTCTCTTTAGTATTAGACGAAACCACACTGGAAATATATTTAATAATTCCAAATTATTACACTAAGATAATAAATCCAATGAGTGACTCTACCCCGATATAAACGAGTGATACGAATAGTAGTAGAGTATGGTGGATGTGTTGAGTAGAGTATAACGTGGATGTGACATTATACTCAAGTGATAAATAAACACCTCGGCCCAAGCGGTTTGGCCGGGTGTCTATTCATCACTTGAGTATGGTTCACACCCTTTATGTTACACACCGCTAAACATCACAATACTCTACTCAACACACCGGCCCTACTCTACTACTTTTCGTCTTACCTGATATAAACTATCATGATAAAATAAGTTTAAAATAGCTGTGATATTCACCTTTGTCCAATTACTGTTCGAACCAAGTAAAAATAAAGTATGAGATCAGAAAGCTTCGAACGCATCATATCGATAATCTGCTGCAAACCTCTTAAAATGTTATTCTAAGTCAATAGCATCCCCATGAGAGATACATTCTCGAATTCGTTCAATAAAACACAAAAAATACATTTATTAATTTCGTTGTTATGATAAAGAATATCATTCCAAAAAAATAATCCATATTACAACATAATTGGATTAATCACTACAAAAAAAATCAAAATTTTTTAATAAATAATTGCAAATTTTCGAAAATAAAATTATATTAAATTTACCTTAGAAGATTCAGGTTCAATGATATCAATGTAAGGCTTGATCATTTTAAATCTGTTGATAAATTTTTCTATATTATCATTGGGATATTTTAAAGGCTTTAAACGATCAATGAAGCCATGAAGGTATAATTGAGATCAATTTCAGACGCGATTTTAAAAAGGATGAGTCAATCAAATTTAATCTGAAAAGCATTATGATAGGTTATAACAATTGTATACATTTGATCTATTTGATCTTTGGTATAGTTACTTTCTTGTTATAATCTTTAAATGCGTTGAGTAAGAAAAGATGATGACAATTCATATAATCCACGAGAATTTATCTGTTGCCTTTGAACATAATATTCTAAGGGAATACATAAAAATAGTTGTTTTTCTCTAAAATTGACATCAATTCTATCGATAGTAAATTTAGGATTTGATACATGAATCATATGACCATTGTGAAGGATTAATAAATGTTGATATTTTAAAACTTTAGGGCTATTAATTTCAATAAGAAAAATTGTTTATTTTCCATATATCAAATTGATTGTTCCTCTGAACATGCAAACGTGCGATTGTCTCCAGTATCAATTCCATAAAATCCTTCAAATTCAAAATTTTCTCTAGATATAGGATCAGATTTAGGTATGAATAGCATATTTATATTGAATACTAGAAATAATACAAGATCAGATTTCCAATATGTTGTCGAAGTTCTACAATAGGCCTTCCCCATGCTCCATCACCAAGAACTACAAGCTACCCAATGTTTCCGATATTTTCTGACAAGTGGACGTGAAACGTAAATGTTTCCATGAAATTAAAGTTTGCATGAAATATACTCTCAAACTTGATGAATAATGGTATAATTTAAAAAATATTTAATTATGAAATTCAACAGAACAAGTAAATATTCTACACATATTCCTTTTCTTTATTTTTATTGCACACTTATCAAGCATACAAAAACAAATTCGGCTCGACGGCGTATAGGTATGAAAATATACATACTGTACTGTATATACAATAACAACGCCACAAACATGACGATTCCTATCTAAGAATCTAAACTAAAATAATAACTATCCTTTAAGAAATTTTCTAGCTCTACTACTCGTACTACCTACACTACTATGTATCTTTTGAGCGCTTGTTGGTATCAGAAATTACTTTTTCAGGCGCACTTGATTCATTCCCGCAATCTTCCACTAAAAGTATCATTCAAATTACTGTACTCATGAATTTGTTCCCACGAAGGGGTAATTTGCCTTTTTCTTAGTTACGATATTCTTCCACTATTTTTACGGAAAGGTATTTGAATGAAAAAAAAAAAAAAAAATATGTAAACAATTTATATCACGTACAATTCTTATTATTTAAAAGATCTCGACGCAATTTCATATTTTCTACCCTATAAAAAAGAAATGTCCGGAAATTGTATCTAAAAATGTCCGGGTGCATCCAGAAAATGTCCGGAAATTGTCCAGATATTGCAGGATTTAGGACGAAAACCAATTTTCTGAATGTTTGATTGTCCGGAATTTGTCTAGAAAAATGTCCAGAATTTTTGATCATCTGGAATTTGCCCAAAAAAAATGTCCGGAATTTTTTGAATGTACAGAATATGTCTGGAAAATGTCCAAGGAATTTTGATCGTCCGGAATTTGATATTTTTGATCGTCCGGAATTCGTCTATAAAATACCCAGAATTTTTTTGATCATCCACCATATTTAACGAGAATGTAGTGTATATAACTGACAGTTACAGCAAAATATCTCACAACTTTTTCCTCTACTATATTCAATAATTAATGATTGAACAATAAAAAAATTAATTTTATAGAATTACTGTACC